GATTATTTAGGTTATTCTGGGATATTATGCCTTCCAATTGGGGTACTACTATCAGGGAGTCAAATACCTCATTCCTGAGCCTTCTACTTTATTGAGACCCAATAAGCACTTCATCTAATGCTAACAGGTATTACTGCTTAGTTTTAATATGCTGGGATCAGTTTTTTTATTAAGTTGTATAAACAGTCATTGAAAGGAGAAAATATGATTTCCTCCCCTGACCCTTTTTCAATCTCTCAAAATTCCTATTAATAGTTAACTGAGCTTCATTGACTATGCAAAGGCTTTTGACTGTGTGGATCACAGCAAGTTATGGCTGACTCTGGGAAGAATGAGAATCCCAGAACATTTGATTGTGCTTATGCAAAACCTATACTCGGACAAAGAGGCAGTCGTCAGAACAGAGCAAGGAGACACTGCATGGTTCAAAATTGGGAAGGGCGTACACCAGGGATGTATCTTTGTCTCCATACCTTTTCAATCTGTATGCAGAACATATCATCCTGGAATCTGGGCTGTATGAGGAGGAATGTGGTATCAGGATTGGTGGAAGATTCATCAACAACCTGCGTTATGCAGATGAAACAACCCTGCTTGCTGAAACTAAGGAGGACCTGAAGCATTTGCTGTAGAAGGTCAAGGACTGCAGCCTTCAATATGTATTGAAGCTTGAAGAGAGAAGATGGCAGCAGTGGAGAGTACAGTGTGAAGAGCCAGAGGGATAACAAGCTGCATAGAGAAGGGACACCAGAGAGTACGTCACGCTCCATAGAGACCGACCATCACAGCGTGATGTTGAATTTGAATCAGAATTTTTGTTAACACATTATTTTAGAAGCTAAAAAAACTTAATGTCCTGCCATGCTGTGGTCCCATCGCGGACCCAGCAAAAGCTGGAACCCGCAAGCTGAGTTGCTTTGGGACTCACCTGAAAGGAAAAAAGGTTAGTGGGGAAACTGGCTGAATTCTCTTAAGCCCCACTAAGACCCAGTGGGTCTGTTGTGTGACATGGACAATAGGAATTAGAATAAGAACTTTTATTGATACAAATAGTTTTAGGAACCACAGAGTCTTAAACCC